TTAGTTTAAATTAATTTATTAGTAACGAATATATATATATATATATATATATATATATATACATATATGTATATATATATATATATATACGTATATTTACATATATATATATATAAATAATGTTCTTCAATATGCGACGATTGTAACGTAGACAAAATTAACGGATTCCATTCACAGTGCTTATAGTATTTTCCCTACCCAATGGTGACTATGAACTGTTCGGGGGGTGGCACGCGGATGTCCACAAATACCGTAGCCCATGCTTCGGGTGTACTGTAGTCAGAGCACTGAACGGCGCTGCTAAGTTCTGCAAACAGTGTGCGAAGATGTGAGCCGATGTGAGAAGGCTGGTGTGAGCACGCGCATGTACACGTTTTAGGGTTTAGAAAGGCTTTTTTGGGGGTTTTAAGGTTTTAGAAGGTTATAGGGTTGTGGAATGGTGTGCAGCATGTGCATGTGCGTACAACTAGCATTAGATATTCGTCTGGCAAATACACACACATCGATACTTCAACAGTTCACAGATACAGCAAGAGTGGGCATACCAACAACACTCACTGGCACACACACATCAAACCTCACTCGCTCACACGCACACACACACACACACCAGGCCACCACTCCACCACAGCCACACTGCCTCTGCCATGGCCCATTGTGCGGAAGGTGATGCCGTCGATCTCAGGCGCAAGAACAGACGTGTCTGTGGACGAGAGCCGAAGTGTGTCTGTGCTGTACAGCTGAAACGAATGGCCTGAGTACATTGGATGCACCACCACCGACACAAACAACTGCCGCCCGACTTCGGTGGACACTGTGGTATAGCGGGACGGAAAAGCGGGATCAGAAGGTAGCATTGGTAATGCGTTTGGATAGATTTAACAAGTTATTGTTCATAAAATAGTACTGTTATTTTTTTTCCCGTAATCAGTGAGGTGAACGTGTTGCTGGTATATACATGAATGATAGTCATATTTATTAGTGTCGTGCAGTGGCTGAGTGGCGATTGCTGTGTGGGATAGCAGCGCAACTGACCAATCAGTGGAAAGCAATAGAGACACTTCCAGACTTAACAAGTGGTCCAATGATGTTACACGCATCAACCGGTGAGGTTAAAAAGGTGTCTCCGTACACAGAAAGTGTATCAATGGGCTACCCCCAACTGTTTGTCACCTTGGACGAGAATGGCAAACCAAGTTGCTGATCCCACATATTATACCATATATATATATATATAAATTTATACACACACAAACATGCATACATACATACATACACACACATACACAATCATTCATTCACTCACTCACTCACTGACACACATATATATATCTATACACACACCATTGGTGGTCATGAAGTCTGGCGCCAGCTTAAAGGTAATGTTGCGATTCTCAGTAGCGATGAATTCAGGCTCATGAAACAGCGTCACTTCGATCGATGCAATGGGTTCTACCGCGCCAAACACTTCGAAGTTGCGTGTGAGTGTTGGCAGAATGGCCTGGTTGTGAAACGTGGCAGTAACCTGGGCCGTGCCCACTCCGATGCCTGTGCGCGTGTGTGAATACGTGCGTGTAATGTAGGATACATGTAAGTATGTGTGTATATGTACCACCATGTGTGCATATATCTACAATAGCATATATGTGTAAGCCCTAGCATATAGTACACATGTGTGCGATATGAATGTGTCGGCATACCCTTTGCCGAGCTCCCTTGCTTGAATTCGCAAGCCTTACCAATATGAATGCAATACTATGCATGTGTGTATACATACGACTATGATTATATATATATATAACTATTCCAGAGCTGTGCGTCTGTGTGCAAATTCACTTTAAAGATCTACCGCCGTTGTGTTTGGCAAACTAAACCGAAGTGTGCTCAACTTCCGACACACGTACGTGGTAAATAATCATATCTTTTGTAATATATAGCTATAGCGCGTATCATCGGTAGAAAGCAATGGAATAGGCCAGTAAGTAAACACACGTCACTCTCACACATTGCCTACGGATTAAGTACATTAGGCAGACACCCATGCATTGTGCGGAGAGCTTTGTTGTCTAACAATTACATCTGTTATAGGGGTTTAGGGTTTAAAGTCTCTAAAACCCCAAGCGTCCCTTATATTGTGAAGTTTTAGAGTTTAGGTTTTTATCGCATGTGGTACCTACCCCTGACCGTGGCAAGGGGGCCTTTGGCGTCGTTGGTGTTAGCACTAACCACCACCACAGCAGCGTTTGAGCTCGTCAGTTGGCCCTCTAAAAGACCCGTTGCCACAATCACTTTGGGCACGGGCGAGTTCTCTGCGGGAAATCCGGAACAAATGAAGAATAGTAGTAGAGAAATGAGTGACTTTGAACGACTGTACATGTAGATACCGCTGTTGCCCTCCATAAGGCCCGTTGTCACAGTCACTTTGGCCACGGATTGGTTCTCTGATCCGATTCTTTCGTTGCTTCTCTGTACTTTTCAAACAAGAAATAGGTCCCATGATTCCTACTAGACCCGAATGATGCCATCAATGATACTAGAATGCAGTGTCTAGATCAATATCTCTTCCGTAATAAATATGTCATCCAAAACAATAATAACAAAACCAATCTAATACAATTCAGTTTACCTACCATTGGGTTCTATCTGAGCTCGCTATCGCATCCACCCAACAGCCCACCTAATCCTTTCGAAGTGACCCTGAGTCACATACCACCAACGGCGTAGGCACAGACGCACCTGACACACCGTAGTTACTGGATGGACAGGACAATTATTTATAGAAGACAAACCACTACATACAGACTGAGAAATGTATCAGACATCGCAATACATAAACATGACACAATACTACAGGCATAGCATTAATACATATATATGACACAAATACAGTATACTTTTAGACATCACAATACATATATATATATATGACACAAATATCGCAGGCATAGCCCTATATTTGTATCTTGTGTCACAGCACACACCGGAGATGCCTGCGGACAGAGTGGCCAGGATGTCTATCTGGGTGTCTTGGAAGTACTGTTTGGTGCAGTATGTCCCATGCAGCCCTGGTTTGGCGTAGAGGTTTGTTTCATTGTGTGGTGCGCCGGCCACCACCATCTCCACCTGAGTGTTATTGTGTGGTGTTGGATATGTATAGCCATTGGTAGAGGTAAATGCTGTGTCTTCTGGGTGTTATTATTGAATAGGGATATATATAGTTATTTGTAGAGGGGCATGCTGTGTCTTCTGAGAGATATTGTGTGGTGTTGAAAAGGGATATGTATAGTCATTCGTAAATGTACATCCTGTGTCTCTGAGGATTCCATCCGAGTCGCCCATATCAGGAGAGAGCATGTATGTGACACTCTGCGTGTGTGTGGTGAGAGCATGTATGTGACACTCTATGTGTGTGCGACACTCTACGTGTGTGTAGTGTGTGTCTGAACAAACATGTTGCATTGCATGCGCCACTATCAACGGGTCTTTCACTGCCCTCTATGTACGTGCATGGGTGTGCTATAGCTAGGTGGACGAATGAGTACATCACTCTCACTCACCAATGCAGTTTTTATATCAACGCAGCATACACTATCTCTTTATCGCACATGAGCACCATACACCATTCACAGTACAAAGGCTCCTTATCACATTCCTGTCAGATGTATGCTATAGCCTGTTGTGTGTGCTATAACCTGTTGTGCATGTTATAACCTGTTGTGTGAGCTATAACCTGTTGTGTATGTTATAACCTGTTGTGTGTGCTGTGACCTGTTGTGTATGTTATAACCTGTTGTGTGTGGTCTGCGTACCTGTGTGGGGTACCATACGCGGAAGTATGCGGTGGTGGCGATTGAGTGGTTGTCTGTGGTGATGTTCACAGCCACATTGTGGCCGCCGCTCTGTTCGGAGCCATCCACTGCGACCGATTGGCAGTCCCCACTGACCTTGAGAATGCCCTCATCGCTGCCTGAGGGTTTTAGGGTTTTAAGGTTTCTGAGGTTTCTGAGGTTTTAGGGTTGTAGGGTGCAGCGTGCATATCAGAGAAGAATTCCGATAGAGAATAGATATAATAGCGCATTAAATACGTATAAAAGCATATTGAATGCGTACTAAAACGTATTGCGGCCAACCAACGTGCACGCACAAATGTTGACGCAGCGTGAGTGCATGGCACAGCACACCCCAAAGAAGGCGAGGCTACAACCATCAAACACCCCCCCCCAAAACACACACACCCAACAGACATACTGAGGAAGCTCAGTACCACTACCACCCGTTGACAAGCACGTAATTTAACAGGTGGCGTTGACCATCTCGTCCGTCAGGCCACATGTGGTGATGCCTTTGACAATGAAGGGTGCTTCAAAACACACACACACACAACAGACATACTGAGGAAGCTCAGTAACCACCCGTTGACACGCACATACTGTGACAGGTGGCGTTGACCATCTCGTCCGTCAGGCCACATGTGGTGATGCCTTTGACAATGAAAGGCGCGCGGAAAGCAACGCCGTTCATGACGGCAAAGTTGTACAGCTCGTGATTGGCCCCGTCTTTCAACATGCCAATGATGCCCACCAGCTGATATACGTGTGTGCACAGACGCATGTGGATGTCACGAGAGGTGTTAGCAGATTCATGCGGATGCGATGAATGGACCGACTGGCGGTACTCACACATCCGCGGGTGTCCGGTTCCTCGTTTGTATCTTGTATATACTTATTGTTGAGCTACTTTTCTATTTTATATATGCTTTGTCTAGATACATACTGGATGTCAGGCTTCTTTACTGATGAGTTATAAGGTCATGTAGAAATGTGTGTCAAACACACGAACGTGGTCGTGGTGATGTCCCCGTACGTATGTACTATATGTGCACTCGTATGTGCATGTCTACATATGTATGTGGATGTCAACATCATATGAATACTATCTGTGCACACACACGTACAGTTGATGACACGCACACACATCGCATTGTGAAGCCAATCACCCACTCAGCACGGACTACACGCATGGGCTATCAAACGCATCACCACACATAACACCGTAACAAAGCACAACCCAAATACTCAAATATGTACAAGCCTTTCGTTACCAAAACCCTAAACCCTATACACTGAACCCTAAACTGCGTTGAATCCAACTCACCCGATCTTCTTCGAATGTCACCACACCCGGTCGTGTGCGGCCTAGTCCATTGCGATCTCTCACATACATGGGCGTGCCTGTACGCACAGGTGTTTCCGGGGTATTTGGTATTGCTGTAACATTCGTAGTTGCTGTATCATTCCTAGTAGCTGTGGCATTGGCTGTAGCTATGTCATTGGCTGTAGCTGTGTCATTGTATGTTGGTGTGCCGGTATAGGCCACTGAAACATTGGCGGTTGCTGTGTTGTGGGGAGGGCTTGCGTGGTTGGTCACCAGATTACCTACAGTTAACCAGTCCCTCAGTTCTGACACCTGCCCTGAAAGCTGTCACGCGCCATTTATGGCATTATTATGGGGATTAGCTATGAAGAATAACAACAACTAATATGACATTATTATGAGAATTAGTTATGGAGAATGACTAATATGACTTTATTATGAGAAATAGTTATGGAGCATAACTAGTATAATATTATTATGAGAAATTGTTATGGAGAATGACTAATATGACATTATTATGAGAATTAGTTATGGAGAATAACTAATATGACACTATTATATGGATTAATTGTGAGTAATTAGATGGCATATACAATTGTGCAGGTTTATGGCTATGCCCTATATTTCTTTTTCGGCCGGTACTTTGACTGTCTGTTCACGTGCGTGGACATGCTATCTACGAAGCAACTGATTGTACAGCGGCCTGAACATCAGCGGTAGACGCATGGGGTGTACAGGTGTGAGTGTGTATAGGCACTGTAGGCCGAATCGACTCCTTATCGTCAATGTATGAGTTTACAATAAACAACACACCTACAGCTGAAGAATGTATGTAGACACAGAATGCTCACGGTGTTCGTGAATGCTGAATGTTATAGATCATTCGAGTTAATCCACAGAGGCACCCTGCGCTACCCACAACAACCCATAATAACAATATGACCCATACTGAATACGGGGCTTTAGTCAAAGCACGCACATCTATGGAACGCACCAAATAACCCATACATCAGATACAACACACACACACATCACACACACACACATTCACGACACACACACACACACACAACACACACACACACATTCACGGACCACACCACAAACACACACCACACATGCCTACCTGTACACCGGCAGTGGCATTGTGCATCTCTCTGTTGTACGAGAAGTACAGCGTGCCTATAAGCTCCTTCGTGTACACGGGTCGCTTGTCCGTGTGCGTGTGTGTCAGGTGGCCCTTGCTGATGCGGTAGTTGCCATCCAACCGACGCGTAACCGAGAACGTTTTAAAGCCATCTGAGTACCGAACGTCCCACTGCGACTCGTCGTATGTGATGTTTTGGAATACCAGCTCAGTGTGGTTGTAGTCCAACGAACCTGTGGTGCATGGGGTAGGTACAGCAGGAGTGAGTGAGTGTGTAGGTACGGCATGAGTAAGTGAGTGTAGGTAAGGCGTGAGTGAGTGAGTGTATAGGTACGGCATGAGTAAGTGAGTGTGTAGGTAAGGTGTGAGTGAGTGAGTGTGTAGGTAAGGCATGAGTGAGTGCGTGTGTAGGTAAGGCATGAGTGAGTGAGTGTGTAGGTAAGGCATGAGTGAGTGTGTGTGTGCTGTCTCGGGATGTGGGTATGCAATACGCGCACTAGAACCTTATCTGGAGGAACATTGCCAAGTCCCTCTCGAATACGAGCGTATTTGCTACATGCGTGCGTTGCATCAATCCCCGCCCATTTGTGTAGGTATATGCATTTACCTACCTGCCAGAAGCGTAAGCATGTGCTTGGTCTGTCCCAGCAGGGGCACCGAGAAGGCCGATGATGTCTTGCAGTGGTTGCCCAACGGAATCTTTGTGCGTGGCAGCTCTAACACAGCCAGTGATTCCATAGGCAGAGACGGCCGCGGCAGCACAGTAACCTGTGACGTGGGCAGGGATGCGTGTTAGAGGGGAGAGGTGGAGGGACACTGTGGTAGATATGCACGTGTATATAAGGATATGTGAGATGGAAGGACATGAAGGATGTATGGCTTATAGGCACATGCGATGGCATGTGAGATATGGGAGCGTGCAGGGACATGTGATATATAGGTACGTATACGATACATGACATCTAAGCACAAAAGATGGCAATTGAGATATAAGTACATACAAAAACAGGTGAGTTAGAAGTACACACAATAACTGTGAGAAAGGTTGCAAGCCTGTGCACTGCATGCGATGGCGTAGACGGATATACCAAAGTGCCGATAGGCAGTGGTACAGAACTGCGACGTATCACACGCCAGCCCACCAAAACCAGACAGACACTCACCCGTCTCATACAACTCAATACTTATCTGCAAGTCACTCAGAGGCATCGCACACATATCTAACACATATCTACCAACCCCACAGACACACATACCAGCCCCATAAAGACACATACCAACCACACAGAGGCTCATACCAACCACACAGATACACATACCAACCGCACAGACACACATACCAACCACACAGACACACATACCAACCACACAGACACACATACCAACCACACAGACACACATACCAACCACACAGACACACATACCAACCACACAGACACACATACCAACCACACAGACACACATTCCTACCACACAGACACACATACCAACCCCAAGTCATCCTCCACTAGAGGCACAGTCCCATTCATCAGCAGCACACTGACATTGACCATTATCTCCGTAGTCTCAAGCACCCAGGAGTCAGGAATAGCAATCACGTAATAGTGCGACCGTAGCTCCAAGGCAAACGCAGCGGTGATGTTGTACGTGACCGTCTCGTGGCCTTCACTGCGCAGCTGCACTCGCACTGTCCCTTCCGGTAGACTCAGGGATCTGTGGGGTAGGAAGATCGGATATGAACCACTTGTCAATCTATGGTTTGTAATGCATGGGTGTATATACAAGAGAATATGATTCCTGAGTATCTACCGGTGTGGTAGAAATCATATCTAAGATAAGTGATATATACAAACTAAACTTTACACACGGGAAGACGAGGCTCCTCCGTGTTTGTATCCCAAAGCACAGCACATCGGCTAGTGCAAGAAATGGCTATGCATGCGCGTGTTGGGGTAGTCCCATCTACGTATAGGTGTACATTTGGGATTGCCCAGCACACTCCCAAAGGACTCGCACGGACCATCGATTCCGCATTCACCCCACACTCTTAAACACAGCACTTTCTATCTACCTACCGACTTCAATCCACCTACCTATTTCCCGCCTCGTCAGACGCTATGATGACCACCGTGAGATTGCCTGTACTGACCGGGTCCACCAGATACGTTGACAGGTGCAGGGGTGTACGCCCCACGTAGTGCTGCGGCAGTGCGGCGTGTTTGGTCTGTGAGCCTTCGGCCATAACGTCTGCCTTGACCACCGCAATCTCCTTGTTGCGCAGCTGGTGATAGCCCTGTGGTCGCCATGGCGTGGTGGTGAGAGGGATGAGTGAGTGAATAAGCGTGTGTGTGTATGTGTGTGTGCTTGTGTGGAATGGAGGCTGAGTGTGCAAATATACGTCTGCGCTCACCCGAGTACAGTTTCGACGCGTGTGCGGTGGAGTGCATATGCTGCATATACCCAACATACGTGTGGCCTCAAGGCTTGGCACCGTTCCATGTGTGCATGTGTGTGCATGTGGATGTAACAGGTGTGCACATTGCGGTGTATATACACAGCCACTACTTGGTCGTTGCAGACGGGAGATGGAGTTGTTCTGTGCGCTTGGAGTACCTCTGCTGCAGTACGACAAACGTTCTGGCATACCAATGTGCGGTACGGTGTGTGCCCATGCATTCCCAAACCACTGAATTTAATTTTGTTTAGTTACAGTAGTGAAAGTGTGCACTATTGCATACATATACTCTCACAGAAGAACACGACCTCGCAACAACATTGTCTCTTACGCCTTTGCACCACCCACAACACAGCCCGTGACCATCTCTCCCACACAACACACACACACACCCGCGCAAGACTTGCAGAGACTGATATACTCGTTACTAAGGTGGTGTACATGACATGTTCTTTGTAGCATCTGCATACTACGTACCTGCATGTACGTTGTTGACGGATACAGCCGCACGGGACTTGGCTCTGTAAAGTGGATTGAGTACGGCAATCCCTTCAGCATCGCTGGGTTTCTCGTACTGTACCGTGTCGACACCACAAACTCCGCCGAGGTGACATCGGTATCCAAGTATGTGTCTGGAAACTTCCACAGTGAGTTATTGGTGACAGTGGATGGTCGGCTCAGAAGGATTGAATGTGTGATGCCCAGTGGTGCTAGTACGACATCGGTTAGCGCAGATGAGTTGTGGGTAGTTTCACTCAGCACCTGTTCAAAGGCGGCAGACGCTGTGTCGTCGAGACTGTGATGGGGTGAAAGCGAAGGCTTTACAGGTCAGTTAACTCTATCGAGGGGTATGTACACATGCACGAACGCGTGTGTTTGAGTAGTGGTTATCTCCACGTGTCCAGAGGGAGTATGAATAGCCACTCAGATATTAAACCCTTAACCAGCAACGTGTGAGCCGCACCTACCTGACATGTACGATAGACCCTCCGAGTACCACCAGGGCGTCTGGTAGGAGACCGTTGTACGGTTCCTGCGCACACTCCACACAGTCATAAACGACCGATGCATCTCGCCATACACGTAGGCCAGACACATCACCCCCTAACCCAGTACTCAATACACTCTGCACGACCAAGGGACTGTCGATGCAATGGCCCACCCGAAGTAGCCAGCTGGTCTGTGGATGTTATGGATGTTGGGCAGTGTTTATTACGAGTGAGTGAAGTCGCGGTACTTGTACATGGTATTGGGGATGTGGGTGTATGAATAAGGATGTATTGAAGATATAACACTTTTGAAAGTTCATGCTAACTATAAATATTTGCTCATAATATTAGTTTGATTCAACGAAATCTAAAAAACAATGGAATATTAATGTATGTATACAGATGCAAAATATCTGTATTAATATGTGTATACACAGAAGAAGTACTCTCCCACACACACAAACAT